GCTAGTACATGGGTAGGCAACCTCGGCTCTCCAGCTGTGCTGAAACTACAAATCCCATAAGGCATTGCAAGCCACGGGCATGACTCCCAGAAGCATGATGGTATTTGTAGTTTCAGCACAGCTGGAGAGCCAAGGTTGCCTACCCCTGGGCTAGTAGAATAGTACTGCGGTGGGGAGGAGGAGGGCCCGGTGGGTCATGTGACCGGCCTTGTAGAATAGTACTGCGATGGGGAGGAGGAGGGGCCGGTGTGTCATGTGACCGACCGGGGTGTCATGTGACCTTCTAGTAGAATAGTACTGTGATGGGGAGGAGGAGGGGCCGGGGTGTCATGTGACAGGCTAGTAGAATAGTACTGTGGTGGGGAGGAGGAGGGCCCGGGGTGTCATGTGACCTTCTAGTAGAATAGTACTGTGATGGGGAGGAGGAGGGGCCGGGGTGTCATGTGACAGGCTAGTAGAATAGTACTGTGGTGGGGAGGAGGAGGGCCCGGGGTGTCATGTGACCTTCTAGTAGAATAGTACTGTGATGGGGAGGAGGAGGGGCCGGGGTGTCATGTGACAGGCTAGTAGAATAGTACTGTGGTGGGGAGGAGGAGGGCCCGGGGTGTCATGTGACCTTCTAGTAGAATAGTACTGTGATGGGGAGGAGGAGGGGCCGGGGTGTCATGTGACAGGCTAGTAGAATAGTACTGTGGTGGGGAGGAGGAGGGCCCGGGGTGTCATGTGACCTTCTAGTAGAATAGTACTGTGATGGGGAGGAGGAGGGGCCGGGGTGTCATGTGACCGGCTAGTAGAATAGTACTGTGGTGGGGAGGAGGAGGGGCCGGGGGGTCATGTGACCTTCTAGTAGAATAGTACTGTGATGGGGAGGAGGAGGGGCCGGGGTGTCATGTGACCGGCTAGTAGAATAGTACTGTGGTGGGGAGGAGGAGGGCCCGGGGTGTCATGTGACCTTCTAGTAGAATAGTACTGTGATGGGGAGGAGGAGGGGCCGGGGTGTCATGTGACCGGCTAGTAGAATAGTACTGTGGTGGGGAGGAGGAGGGGCCGGTGTGTCATGTGACCGGCTAGTAGAATAGTACTGTGGTGGGGAGGAGGAGGGGCCGGTGTGTCATGTGACCTTCTAGTAGAATAGTACTGTGATGGGGAGGAGGAGGGGCCGGGGTGTCATGTGACCGGCTAGTAGAATAGTACTGTGGTGGGGAGGAGGAGGGGCCGGTGTGTCATGTGACCGGCTAGTAGAATAGTACTGTGATGGGGAGGAGGAGGGGCCGGTGTGTCATGTGACCGGCTAGTAGAATAGTACTGTGGTGGGGAGGAGGAGGGGCCGGTGTGTCATGTGACCTTCTAGTAGAATAGTACTGTGATGGGGAGGAGGAGGGGCCGGGGTGTCATGTGACCGGCTAGTAGAATAGTACTGTGGTGGGGAGGAGGAGGGGCCGGGGTGTCATGTGACCTTCTAGTAGAATAGTACTGTGATGGGGAGGAGGAGGGGCCGGGGTGTCATGTGACCGGCTAGTAGAATAGTACTGTGGTGGGGAGGAGGGGCCGGTGTGTCATGTGACCAGCTAGTAGAATAGTACTTTGGTGGGGAGGAGGAGGGGCCGGTGTGTCATGTGACCGCCTAGTAGAATAGTACTTTGGTGATGAGGGGGAGGGGCGGCCCCGGGTTGGACTTTATTGATGTCATGTGATACTTTGTAGCAGAATTGTAACAAAAACAAAGTACAGAATAAAAAAATTGACACTTTCCATCCGAGGTTTTTCCCGGAATTCCCTTCTCACCTCTTCCCGGCGCTCCTCAGGCTCTCCTCCATCCCCTGCGGAATGCTGATCACCCCGCGCACCAGGTGCCTCCCGACTATCCGCTCCGCCGCGGCCGCCATTCCCAGCACCGC